ACATGCTTCCACTGGCTCAGATTATGAAAAACAACAAAATATGTTACCATAATTATGCAGATGACACACAGATTTACATAACCATTTCACCAGGGGACTATGATCCCATACACGCGCTGAGTAACTGTATTGAGCAGATCAACGATTGGATGTGCCAGAATTTTCTTCAATTAAACAAGGATAAAACTGAAGTTTTTTTTTTTGGAGCCAGGGAGGAACGATTGAAAGTCAGTGCTCGACTTCAATCTGTAATATTAAGAACCACAAATCAAGCCAGAAATCTTGGTGTAGTCATGGACTCAGTCAGCCTACTACCACCTGAATATATATCAAGGATTAAAGGACTTATGTCTCAGCAGGACCTGGAAAAGCTTATCCATGCATGCGGTCTGCTTTCTGTCCCTAGAGTCAAAACTAAACAAGGAGAAGCAGCGTTCAGTTATTATGCTCCGTATATTTGGAAAAAACTCCCAGGTAACTGCAGGTCTGCTGAAACTGTCAGTTCTTTTAAATTAAGACTGAAGACTTTTCTTTTTACCCTTGCTTTTAATTAAATATTTAAGATTTCTTTTTACTAATAACTTACACTGCACTGTAACTTTTACTGTCCTGTTTTCTTTTTCTTTGTTTGCTTTTTATTATTTTCTATTTAACTCTTAACCCTGATTGTAACACTGTAACTATTATATTTTATCTTGCTTTTAAAGTGTTACATATTTCCCTGTTGCTTTTATGTTTCATGTGAAGCACTTTGAATTACCTTGTTGTTAAATTGTGCTATACAGATAAACTTGACTTGCCTTGGCTTGCCTTGCCTTAATGCACACCTGTATTAGACTCATACTACTTCAATGAAACCTATTACTGAAGTGTCAGCGTAAGCGGCTGCTCCTTGTGTGAAAACCTACTTGAGTAAAGACCAGTGAGTCTACCTGTGCGAGTCTAACATGCAAGGCCACCGACTCACTTAAAGCCGTTGGCTACAACTACGCTCAGGCCATGCGCTACCATGCTATTCCTGTTGTCTCTAGTGCATGCAAGACACACACAGATCATCTGGGAGGGCAGGTAGGACTGGGCTCTCAACTTCCAACAAATGGAAATTCACGTAGCTGCTACCCCTGAATCCATATGCCTCCTTCGAATCATGCTATCTTGGTGTCCACTCCGGTAAAGGTCTCTGTGATTTTCATATACCGTCCACCAGGACAAGTAGGTAACTTTGTGGACGAGCTAGACACACTGCTGTCTTCAATCTCAGAGCATGACTGTTATTTGTCCTCGGTGACATGAACATTCACTTAGACAAATCAAACTCAGCAGACTTCCTGTTTCTGATTCATTCCTTTGATCGAACACGGGTTCTCACCTTTCAACCTGTCTCCCACTCACTTTGCCTCAGTGATGGTTTCTACTCTACCTCTCCTCAAAACATTCTCACCTTGGAGACCATGAATGGAGTTCTGTATGGGGCTCCAGTAGGGGACTCCATAGTTCTGCTGGGAGACTTCAGTGCGCATGTGGGCAATGATGGAGATACCTGGAGAGACATGATTGGGAGGAACGGCCCCCCTGATCTAAACCTGAGTGGGTGTTTGTTGTTAGACTTCCGTGCTAGTCATGGATTGTCTATAACGAACACCATGTTCGAACATAAGGATGCTCAAGTTTTTTAGTGTATGTGGAACCAAAGCACCCTAGGCCGAAGATTGATGATCGATTTTGTAATCGTTTCATCTGATTTGAGGCCGCATGTTTTGGACACTTGGGTGAAGAGAGGGGCGGAGCTGTCAACTGAGTGGGGAAAGACTCCGGATAGACCTGGTAAGCCCAAACGGGTAGTGCAGGTGAACTGGGAACATCTGGAGGAGGCCCCTGTCTGCGAGATCTTCAACTCACACCTCCGGCGGAGGATTTCTGGCATCCCTGTGGAGGTTGGGGACATTGAACCTGAGTGGGATTGCTGAAGCTTCAGTGGGAAGCTGTGGTCTCAAGGTCTTAGGTACCTCAAGGGCCGGTAACCCTCGAACACCGTGGTGGATACCGCTGGTCAGGGAAGTCACTGAGGTAAAGTCTACTTTTGAAGAGGAACAACACAGTTTTCGTCCTGGTCGTGGAATAACGGACCAGCTCTTTATTCTCAAAAGGTCCTGATGGCATCATCGGTCCGTGACCTTCAGCTCTCACTGGATCGGTTTCTTAGCAGAGTGTGAGGCGGTTGGAATGAGGATTAGCACATCTAATTCTGAGACCATGGTTCTCAGATTTACCCCAAGAAGGAAATGAAGGGAATCCAACTTAATGGGGCATTTCCTTTGAAATGTTGAACTTTAAACTTGGCAGTTCCAACTTCCCATGTCAACTGGAACGCACCATGAAACTGACTGGATATGGCACAGCCCCACCTAAAATATTTTTCACCAGCAGCAACTGCACTTCAGATTAGTTATTTGTTGATTTGTTTGTAGAGCAGATGAAACCAAGAGTCAATAAAAACAGGATCATTAACTTTCTTTAACTGTAACTCTGTAGCTGATAGAGGAAAGTGAAGTCTGATGGCTATAAATGTCACCTATGGTCATGAAGGCTGGGTCATGACTGAAAGAACAAGATCACGTATACAAGCAGCCGAAATGGGTTTCCTCAGGCGGGTGGCTGGTGTCTCCCTTAGAGAAAGGGTGAGAAGCTCGGCCATCCATGAGGAGCTCAGAGTAGAGCCACTGCTCCTTTGTGTTGAAAGAAAGCCAGTTGAGGTGGTTTGGGCATCTGGTAAGGATGCCTCCTGGATGCCTCCCTAGGGAGGTGTTCCAGGCACGTCCAGCTGTGAGGAGGCCTCACGGAAGACCCAGGACTAGGTGGAGAGATTATATGTCCACACTGGCCTGGGAACGCCTCAGGATCCCCCAGTCAGAGCTGGTTAATGTGGCTCGGGAAAGAGAAGTTTGGGGTCCCCTGCTGGAGCTGCTGCCCCCGCGACCCGACCCCGAATAAGCGGATGAAGATGGATGGATGGATGAATGAATATTTAAATCTTCACACATTTTTACTGTTTTAATTGCATTACTTTTCTTCAGACCATATAATGCTGTAATATAATTCTTCATTTCTAGTGTGAAATTTTAGACCATTTGCATTTGTGAATTTAATAATGTAAGATAACGAGGTTCAAAATATGAAGTCTTTTACAATCATTATCAATCATAAAAGAGTATAATGTATCTTTTTCATACATTAATACCTGAACCAGTCAATGTCTTAAAGAAATGTTTCAAATCTAACCAAAATAATTTGGTGCACAACTTTTGTTTGTTTGATTGATTGTATTTGAATGTATTGGCAGATTACGCAATGGGTTAGGGTTAGGGGTTAGGCCTCCTCTGAAAGTAAGCTGCTGTATTTAAACCTTACAAGTTAAAGGAACTGGACTGGCGACCTGTCCAGGGTGTACCCGCCTTTCGCCCGATGTCAGCTGGGATTGGCTCCAGCCCCCCGTGACCCTGTACGCAGGGTAAGCGGTTGACGATGGATGGATGGATGGAGTTAAAGGAACTCGTTTTGGCTGTGAGGGTGACTCAGACCAGAGTACACTTTGTGACTGAGTGACAGTGAGGAGGGTCTAGTTTCAGATATATATCAAAGCACATGCGGATCGTATTCATCTGCAGAAGTTTATGTCTTTAGAAAAATCTCGGTTATTAGTTTGTTACCCAAACATGATATTTAACATTATTTGTTATTCTGTAGTTATTATTTGTAGTTTATTATTAATCTGTCATTGATGTTAAGAACAGAAAGAGTTATCTCTGGACATCATGGATTCATCCATAGCTCACAGAATAAAATCTATAAGCTGAATTGTCCTTTATAAACACTGTGACTGCAGACATTAAGGCAGCTGTCAGGTTGGCAACAGTTGCACAGAAACACTTAGTGTGGGCTACATTACTGCAGTAATCATTGTTCAAATCGAACCAAGATGTGAAGCTGTAACTGATAAAGGAACAATCATCTATTGTTGTGATTAGATGCACTGATTGAACATTTCTATAGTTTTTATGTTGGAGATGATGTGTGAGGATGATTGTTGTGCAGCTGAAACAAATTGGGGTGGCGATGGAGCAGTGGATAAGATATTTAAATGTTCTTACAAAGTATAGAGTTTGTCCTTAATGAGTGTTGTTTTCAACCTTTGTCAGTTACCTCAAATATAAAAAAGTGACCAAACCCTTTTATAAAGTTTTAAAAAGGCTTTTTGTTTAAAAACCACATTTCAAACCTGTTTAAAGCAGCAAAAACCCGCCTCTCGCCCAGCTTCGGCTGGTGTTTGCTCCAGCCCCCCACGACCCAGCACAGATAAGCGGGTGTAGATAATGGATGGATGCAGAGCTGCAGCAGAGTGAGATCTAACATTAGATGATCATACATTTGTACAAGCTTGTTTATGTTTTTGTTTAAGAAGAAAATCAATGGTGCCTTGAATAGAATTGTACAGTTGATGAAACTTTACAATTCAGTTTTGGATTTAATGAGGTGAAGCATGAGGTCATGAAGTCTTTCTCTATAAATCAAAGAACTGACTCTTTTTATATGACAGGAAGTAAAGAACTTCTGACTGCACCAAATTACAGGGTTAACTTTGATTTATAATTAGTGAATATTCTTTTCTTTAGCCAATGATGCTCATTAGTTTTAAAGAGGAAATAATTAATCATCACAAGTTGGCTCGACTCCTCATGTCTGTCTGAATTTAAAAAGACTTGAATGTTATTTAATCACATCACAATGTTGAAGCAGCTTCATGTTTCACAACAAGTCTTATAAACAGTGTGTGACTAAAATCCTGTAACGTCTCCACAGTTGTGACTAATTATTGAATGTTCCCATGATCTCAGGTGTGAAGAGGCCTTCTGTTTAAACAAAGATGTTCTCACTGTATCGTCCTGTGGAGTCCTTTTGAAATGTAATTACTTTTTCTCTCTGGATGTTTTTATTGTTTTTAGATGTGGTACGAGTGAAACCTGGAGATGATGTCATTCTGCCATGTCGGGCAGATGAAGCCTCCATCAGAGCTGTAGAGTGGAGCATAGCTGACTTGGAGTCAGAGTACGTCCTCTTTAACAGAGATGGACTCTCAGATCCAACCCACCAGCATCCATGCTTTAAGGACAGGGTTCAGCTGGTGGACAGAGAGCTGAAGGACGGAGACGTGTCTTTAATTCTGAAGAACGTGAGCAGGAACGACGCTGGAACATACGAGTGTCGAGTTGCAGCAGGAGGTTCAAGACGTAAGAGAGCCATCATTGAGACTGAGCCAATCAGAATCATCCAGCTGGAGGTTTCAGGTGAGTTTGTGGAGGTCAGTGTGTCTGTGTGCCATGTTGTAGCTGCAGTTTATTCCATGTTGATTCTGAGAGTCAAACATGAGGAATATAGAAGATATAGAAGAGTAAATGGAAGCTGTGGAGGCGGAGATGATTTTATTTGGAAATAAGGGGTGTGTGGATGATGACTGCCTGGGGTTGTATTCTGGGAAAAAACTGTCTAGCGTGAGGAACCTTGGTGTCATTTTTGACTCTGAGCTTAAATTTGACCGGCAAATCAATGCTGTCGTTAATAGTTTCTTCCATCTTAGATCGATATCTAAATTGAAATCTATCCTTTGTTTTGACGATATGGAGAAGGTTGTTCACGTCTTTGCGTCATCCCGTTTGGATTATTGTAATGTGCTGAATCTGGGTGTGAGTCAGGCTTCTTTCTCCCGCATGCAGCTCGTTCATAACTCATCTGCCAGACTTTTAACTGATACTAAGAAGAGAGATCACATTACTCCGGTGTTAATTAAATTACATTGGTTACCCATTCGATACAGAATTCAATACAAAGCGTTGTTGTATGTTTTTAAGTCTCTGCATGGCCTAGCACCGGAGTATGTTACTGATTTAATCAGCCGCTGTCAATCCAGTAGATCTCTGTGCTCAAATGATCAATTGCTTCTCATGGTTCCACGATCCCGTTTAAAATGTAAAGGTGATCGGGCTTTCTCTGTTGCTGCTCCTAGGCTCTGGATTGTTCTTCCTCTGTCTGTAAAAACTTGTCCATTGAATACTTTTCAGAGTGCACTTAAAACTTATTTGTTCTCTTTAGCATTTTAGCATTTGATAAAGCTTTGTAACTTGTGTATGTTAAATGTTTACTGTGTTTTTTGTCTCTGTTTTTATTTTCTCTTTTATACCTTCTGTACAGCACTCTGGTTCCACTTGTGGTGTTGAAAGTGCTCTATAAATAAAGTTGAGCTGAGTTTTCACTTATTTCCTGACTAATATGAACTTTGATCTTCAGGTTCTGAGAGGGGAGACCTCGTGAGGAGAGACTACGCTCTTTACATGAGTTTTGGAGCAGGTTTTGTTCTGGGTTGTTTAGTTGATGTATTGGTGATTGACTTGACATTTTTAAGGCTTGCTATTCTGCCCTACAACGTCTAAGTGCAGTAACTACGCAAACACTGAAACTTAGAAAAATGCCTTTAAAGTTTTGAAACTACCCAGTCAAACATGTTGTGTTTAGATCGGTGGTAACGCATTCACGTAATACCTTCTTGAGAAGACATTTTTTATAGATAAAAACCAGGACCACTGATGTGCCCTTTGACCCTCAAAAAGTAGATACTGCACTCTGCCTTTGGATGACCTTAACCAACTAAAACAACATTGCAAAGGCAAAGTGCACTATCTACAAACTAAATGTGGTCATTCAACTTTCTTGTTGTGTTTCTTATGTGGTGTATAACATATGTGCATCTGGCCATTACGTGCATCCAGCCATTACAGTTTAACATAATGCTCTGCAGCTGGTGAGAGGGACAGTGAACCCTTATGGGGAAGTAATGATTGATGGGTGCAGTGTTAGGGGAAGTAGAGATTAGGTATAAAGAGATTAGTGTGTATGAAGGGACTGTACCCTTCTGTGGTGTCTAACAGATGGTTACACTTATTTTACAGCACCGTGCCCTTATATGGTTTTTAGCAGAGACCTAAACATGTCCTATATAAGCTGTGTTCGATGTACAGAGAGACAGAGTGGTCATCGGGCTGGGTCACTCTCCAAGCTGCTGCAGAGCTTGTAATTGATGCTGAATTCTTTGATGTAATAAACTTTTATAACCAAGAACAGTGTCAAGCGGATTTCTTCTCAACACATCATTGCAGCATTATCGTTCGGACACCACACTTACTACATGTTGATTGTTTTGCAAGTTGCAAATGTTGAAATTGCTCAGTAGTAAGCCTCAAAATTAAGTTGTCTTTTATTGCAATTGCACTTTACCACAGTGTTTTGCTCTTGAAAAATTGACTTTGAAGAAATTGTCATCTTCATTGTCTTCATTACCCCAACCATCATTAGCATTTTACACAATAACTAAATGTTGATGTTAGTTTCCACTAGAATTTTCATTTTAATAAAAAAAAAATTTATTTATAACAAATCAAGATTATTTTTAAAACCGTAGTCAAAAATTAACGCAATTCAAACAATATGAAATGGAAGAACTACAAGTAAGACGTGTGTGCGTGCGTGCATGCCGGTGTTGTGCCAAGGTAGTTATCGCCAACAGAAAGTGCTTCCCCTGGCGCGGGAGCGCACGTGCATTCAGCGGTGAAGGCGGACCTTCAACTTCATCAAAGTGAATGAAAAATATACCATGTGGATTGTTTAATCTATCGTTTTAGTATTGTTTTAACGAGGTTTGTGTAGAGCAAGCTAGAACTTCTAAACGTTTTTATAGGCTTACGTTACCGAACTTTTCTGAAATTCAGACGTTGGCCTGGGATGGAAAAAAACTACAATATTCTACTTAAATAAAAGAAAATTACTTAAACTGCACTCAGATACAAAAAAAGTAGATCAGTTAAAATGTGCTCTTAGAAAGTCATGATGATCTTATATGATTTGACTCTTAAATTAAAGACCACCAGGCTCCAAAATAAAGTGCATTAACATGTCAGTGTTCACAGTGGAACATTTATTTTCTATAGACGCACTCTGCAGTCTGTTCATCCCACTAATTATCAAATCATCAACAATCAAACAAAAATGTCAGACAGCAAATGAAAAGATATATAATTGGACAGTATACTGTTAAATTACTTTGTTACAGTAATGAGACCCACTGTTTTAACCACACCCTCGACCTTGTTTTGGTGTATGGTATTGAAATTGAACATTTAGTGGTGTTCCCACAGAATCCCTCTTTATCCGACCACTGTTTGATAACTTTTGAGTTTGTATTGCTGAACTACTCGCCACTGGGCAAAAATTTCTATACAAGATGTCTGTCTGATAGTGCCATAGCTAAATTTAAGGATGCGATTCCATCAGCTCTAAATACATTATCTAGTCATAAAGTAACGGAGGACTCCTATGCTAATTTTAGTCCCTCCCAAATCGATCATCTTGTTGATAGTGCTGCAGGCTCGCTGCGAATGACACTCGACTCTGTAGCCCCTCTAAAAAAGAAAATACTAAAACAAAGACGGTTAGCTCCATGGTATAATACTGAAACTCGCAAATTAAAGCAAATATCACAGAAACTTGAGAGGAATTGGCGTTCTACCAAAGTGGAAAATTCTCGTTTAATTTGGCAAGATAGTCTTAAAACTTATAGGAAGGCCCTCCGTAATGCCAGAGCAGCGTACTACTCGTCATTAATAGAGGAAAATAGGAACAACCCAAAGTTTCTTTTCAGCACTGTAGCCAGGCTGACAGAGAGTCACAGCTCTATTGAGCCAAGTATTCCCATAGCTCTCAGTAGTTACGATTTCATGAGCTTCTTTAATGATAAAATTCTAGCTATTAGAGACAAAATTCACCAAGACCTGCCCTCAATTGGCACCGACTTATCTCTTAACTCAGGAACCTTAGAAACAGCTGTAGAACCAGATACATGTTTAGACTGTTTTGCTTCCCTCAATCTTTACCAACTAACTTCAATAATTTCTTCATCTAAACCATCAACCTGCCTCTTAGACCCCATCCCGACTAGGCTGCTTAAAGATGTTCTACCCTTAGTCAGCACCTCTATACTAGATATGATCAATCTATCTTTATCAACAGGCTATGTACCACAGTACTTTAAAGTAGCTGTAATTAAACCTCTTCTGAAAAAGCCCAAACTTGATCCGGATGTTTTAGCCAACTATAGACCTATATCTAACCTTCCATTTCTCTCTAAGGTTCTGGAGAAAGCAGTTGCTAAACAGCTGTGTTACTTTCTACAGAGCAATAGTTTATTTGAGGATTTTCAGTCAGGATTTAGAGCTCATCATAGCACAGAGACAGCACTGGTGAAAATTACTAATGACCTCCTTATTGCATCAGACAAAGGACTTGTCTCTGTACTGGTTTTATTAGATCTTAGTGCTGCATTTGATACCATTGACCATCAGATCCTATTGCAGAGACTGGAATATTTCATTGGCATTAAAGGAACCGCTCTAAGCTGGTTTAAGTCCTATTTATCAGATCGATTTCAGTTTGTACATGTTAACGATGAGTCCTCCATGCACGCCAAAGTTACTCATGGAGTTCCTCAAGGATCTGTCCTTGGACCAATCCTCTTCACTTTATATTTGCTTCCTTTAGGCAATATTATCAGGAAACATTCCATAAGCTTTCATTGTTATGCAGATGATACTCAGTTATATCTATCGATCAAGCCAGATGAAACTCATCAGTTAGCTAAACTTCAAATGTGCCTTCAGGATGTTAAAACCTGGATGACCTGTAATTTTCTCATGTTAAACTCAGATAAAACTGAAGTTATTACTCTGGGGCCTAAGCACCTCCGTGACGCATTATCTAAAGATATAGTTTCCCTGGATGGCATCGCCTTGGCCTCCAGCACCACTGTGAGGAATCTTGGAGTTATCTTTGATCAGGACATGTCGTTTAAGTCTCACATTAAGCAAATTTCAAGGACTGCCTTTTTTCACCTACGTAATATTGCGAAAATCAGGAACATCCTGTCTAAAAATGATGCAGAAAAACTAGTCCATGCATTTGTTACTTCTAGGCTGGATTACTGCAATTCCTTATTATCAGGCTGCTCGAAAAAGTCCATTAAGACTCTTCAGCTGATCCAGAATGCTGCAGCACGTGTTCTGACAGGAACCAGGAAAAGAGATCACATTTCTCCTGTTTTAGCTTCTTTGCATTGGCTTCCAGTAAAATCCAGAATAGAATTTAAAATCATTCTTTTACCTACAAAGCTCTAAATGGTCAGGCACCATCTTATCTTAAAGAGCTCATAGTACCTTACTACCCCACCAGAGCACTGCGCTCAGGTAGTCCTGAACCATCCCTTAGTTATGCTGCTATAGGCCTAGACTGCCGGGGGATTTCCCATGATGCACTGAGCTCCTCTCTCCTCTACTTTCTCTCCCTCTGTATGCAACCTTATCCCATTATTGCATGTTACTAACACAACTTCTCCCCTTTCTGGTAGTCTTGTGCTTTCTCGTCTCTCTCCTCTCTCCTATCACTTCCTGCAGGTTTTCTGGCTCTGGAGCTGTGGAGTCTGGAGCTGTGGCTGCGGGTCACCTGCTGCCCCCGTGTTCCTGCTCGACACCCTCTGCTGCAACGACTATTTTGCTAGTCTTATTGTTATTATTGTTATTATAATCATTAACATTACGATGGTTACCATTAACACTATTATAAATATCTGTACCATTTTTCATTTAGTCTATAGCAACATTACCTTCACTGTGTGTACCTCTGTGTGTATATTGTGTAGGCTGCCTCCCTCCCCTCTCTCTCTCCTTACATCTCTCTCTCCTTACATCTCTCTCTCTCTCTCTCTCTCTCTCTCTCTCACCCCAACCGGTCGAGGCAGATGGCCGCCCACCCTGAGCCATGGTTCTGCTTGAGGTTTCTGCCTCTTAAAAGGAAGTTTTTCCTTGCCTCTGTCGCCTAGTGCTTGCTCTTGGTGGGAACTGTTGGGCTTCTGTAAATAACATCACAGAGTACGGTCTAGACCTGCTCTTTTATGAAAAGCGCTGTGAGATAACTGTTGTTGTGATTTGGCGCTATATAAATAAAATTGAATTGAATTGAACAGCAAGATGGCGCCTGTGTTTGGCTTGGCCGCTGCTGCATCTGTCTATGCATTGTATTTAACTTTATTGTATTGTTTCAACCTGCGATGGACTGGCGACCTGTCCAGGGTGTACCCCGCCTTTCAATGTAAGCTGGGATTGGCTCCAGCCCCCTGCGACCCTGTATGTAGGATAAGTGGTTGACAATGGATGGATGAT